TTTCATACATTGGTCATACACGATTACAAGCATAATTAAGTATATGAGCAACATCACATGTGATAAAGAAAGGGTAAATGAAATGAAACTTCATATGCTCATGCTCATGAATGCTTGGATGATGTTTGTGCTCATGAAATGCAAATGCCAAATGCAATGCTTAACACTGGGGTGTTACAATGGTGGCGACGGCGACGGCCCATAGGCCTTTACCTTAGTGTGAGCTAAGGCAATGGCGGGTCGGTGAGGTGGAGGAGGTGATGGCAGAGCTGTGGACATGAGTGATTGAGCGGTGGTGCTACAGTGGCAGTGCTCGAGCATGGTGGAGGCACGGTGGCGATGCTGCTGCGGTGCTGCTTTGCTCTGGAGAGGCGCGCGGGCGAGAGAGAAAACGAGAGCGAGAGTGAGTGTGTGGGTGAGTGGAGAGCCAAGGGCTCTCCTTTTGGCGCTGTAGGGTGGGCTGGCGCCGGCGGACTGCCGCCACGTGGTGCGAGCAGCCTGGGCACGGTCGGCCATGATGGCCAGCGAATTGAATCGGCAAGGGCCGATTCAGTCCGTCTGACAGTCGATTTTCAAACCTCCAAATCTTCCAAACCGTGGTGAATCAGTGAAAACTTCATTAATACAAAGTGTAGAGATACATGAGTACTACAAGATTGCTTAAAGGAGTTTTATCTAAATCGCAATGGTTTTCAAACTATAAGGCTCTAAAATAGGCTACATTGAAACTGAAAATAGCTTCAAGACAAAAAAAATTCTAAGTTACGAACAGCATTAAGTTGAAACTTGTGAGCTCTATTTGACCATGTTAGGCACTGATTTAGCTCATGACCCTTAAATAAAGTTTGTTACCCTTGATGTGAACTACAACTTTTATTTAGGTCACACATCTATTTAAATGCTCTAAGGTATTGTTCAACTTTGGTCAAACTAGCATCATGAAAATGGCATTCCATGGTAACCCAACACTTAGAAGCAAAATTGGTTCATGTCATGAATACAAAAGTTGTTCCATTTATGATCCTAGATGTATCTAAGGTATTGTTGTGACCTTACAACCATTTCATACATTGGTCATACATGATTACAAGCATAAGCATATATATAATCAACATTTCATGCGATAATGTATAAGAATGAGATAAAATTTCATATGCTCATGTTCATGATTGCTTGGATGATGCTTGTGCTCATGAAATGCAAGTGCCAAATACCATGCTTAACACTGGGGTGTTACAATCCAATCTCCATTATCTAAAAAATGCCCTGTTCGTTTTGCTGAAATTTAGCTTATGCTGATTTGTTATGAGAGAAAACATTGTTCGTTCGCTGAAAAATACTGCTAAAGTATTGATGAAGAACAGGACAAAAATATAAGACTTAATTGAACATGCATGTACTCACTGCAATGAAAACAAAAGCTAATTCATCCTTCTTGCGGATTTGACACCTAATATATGAACTAGGTTTGGACCTTTGTCATGAAAACAAAAAAGAGATTCAATTCTGATATTTCTAAATAAAAACTGTTTCAGGTTCAGAATATGAAGGAATCCACTATAAACTTTTGTCCAAGTCATCCCGAACCTATTTACCTACGATACCGGTTACTTGATAGTTTTTTTTTTTTGAAAATGGGTTACTGCTTGACAGTTGACACAGTCCTGGTGGTGACTGCTTAGGCTCACATATATATACATAGTATTTCCTTAATTTTTTCATTTGGTAGAACTTAATCTTTCTGGTGGTTTTCATGTGGAACTTTCAGTCACAAGAAAACAGATTTGAAATTTTATGAATCGTATTATCAATATGCAGCGTTGTATTCAAAATAAAATAAAATTATGTGCAAGAAGTTTTATTGTCATTTTTTCAAACATAGTACAACCCACCATGTTAATCGGGCAGGCAACGTCGACAAGTATTGTCGTCTATGGTCTATCGATGAAAAAAAATAGTTAGAACACTTCTAATGCAAAAGCCAACATGGTTTCTATCTCTATTAATTATTTTGCTACATGGACATTTCTATCTCTATTAGTGCAACAATTCTTGTGCTTGCATTTAAAGATTTTAATGCTAATTCGATATACAACATCAAATTATGCAAATTATTAGTTACTCTTATACAGAACGACGTATTGGATACGACAGTGGTCCATGCTGCACAAGGAAGAGGAGAGACCACTGTTCTCTGAGGGACGCAGAAGATGGGAGACGTTTATTATGGCCATTTTCGCGAAGTTCGGCTGGAACTTCATGAATCGTATTTAAGCCTAGTGTTTTGCTTTGTTCGTTGTGCCCACTAGTTTGGGGTGAACTTTGTTTCTTTCCTTGGACGTGTAAGCCTTATGGCATTGGTGTTTTTCTGTGACTATCAGTTGTGTATCATCCACGGATGGTAAAGGCTGAAACTTTGTTCCATTATCTAAAAAAAAGATATGATTAAGCTTTCTAGAGTCAAAGGGTCAATTTTAAATGTGGACTTATTATCTATTTTTCTTGTGATACTCTTTAAAAAGGTTTTAGAGTAAAGGAGCTTGCGGTTTAAGGACATGGATCGATGAAGATAAACTGTTGGTTGTATTTTTTTTCCTTTGTTCACCTTCTTGGATTAAACTTCAGATCGAATTAGTGTGGTACGTATATCAGTCATGTATCCTCTCTCTCTCTCTCTCTCTCTCTCTCTCTCTCTCTCTCTCTCTCTCTCTCTCAGTTACGTTATTTGCGTGTATTCTAATTCAAAACTCTATCTATAAATACTAGAGAATATACGAGTGGGCGAGGTAGAAAAGTTTGGACTCAAAACCCTATCTATAAATACTAGAGAATATACGAGTGGGCGAGGTAGAAAAGTTTGGACTAGCTCTAGCTATCCTTAAAGACAAAGCGATGCAATCTCTCCTAGACGTGCCTTCCAAGACAACTTTGTATTAACTCGAAGTATTGCTTGTTTTTATAATTTTAAAGAAGCTAAATCTTCCATTTTTCATTGTCGAAAAAAAGGTACGTATCCTCGATTATTGCCGCTGCTGCTATTCGATCGAACAAAATACGTCAAAAACAAAAACGAAAGTTTAGCGTATCGAACTTGCATGGTTATCCTTCCCCACTTGTTGTAAAAAGCCTCGATCCTTGGAACATGTGATGATGATGTGACCACTCTGATTCTTTGCAAGTTGAAGTGAATCCTTCACACATGAAGATGCGTTAGAAAAGTCTACGTGTGCTCACTCTGTGCGAAATTAAAGAGGCCTACTCCGAGCGATCACACGAAAGAGGCATGTTTTCAAAAGGGTGAGCTAGCTTTTATTCCGACTAGTTCATCATATTGTGCAGCGATACTCATATCTTTTCAAATATTTATCTTGAAAGACAAAACATCATACATAAGAGTTATTTTTTAATTAAGATATCCTCCCCTAGTTTCAAATCCCATGTCGAAAATGTAAATATAATCTATCTGCGTTTGTATTTTTAGCTTCGTGCTAATAAGTCTAACTTCACATCGACAAGCTACTAGTTCAAATAAATCACTATGAACGTCAAGCTAATTAATCTGATACTGTAAATACTAATATATTTTTTCTATAAATTTAGTGAAAATTAAATAATTTTGATTTAGATTACGGCTAAAGCATGACGTATGATTTGAACAGGGACTGCTAAAGAAATATTATAGAATACACCCTTTGATGAGAGACATGAGCTCTTCAAGAAAACTTGTGTTTTCAGAATTATATGAAGTCAGTAAACAAGCAAAACTCCATAGGTATTTGAAAACACCCGAGTCCATCGAAAAAAGCAGAATATTTGATGGAAGAATAGGACATCCCTTGGAGCCTAATTTTCTAGATGCTGCTAGTCAAAGTGTCGTTTCGAATGGAATTATATATATTTCCGAGTAGTGGTAGTAATAAATCTCTATTGAATATGTACATGATAAGTTTATTCTTATTATTTTTGGAGAGATAATACGTTTATTCTCATGAAAAGCGGTGTGCCCAATAAAGCAGTGTTTGGAAGTATTTGTGCACGAATGGAGAAGCTGATGAACACACTTTACATTGATTGTGATATGGCTAGCTAGAATATAGCTAGTAATACATGGACATTATTTGAAGCATTGACCAATCATCGATCGATCAATGTCAGTCTAATAATTAACTAATGTACAATTGTACATCATATATACAGGAGGGGTGAAATTAAACATGATACTTCATTCTCTTCCATTCTTCGCCTCCTCCTCCTTCTTCTTCCCTATATAGCTAGGGTTATTTTCGGAGAGCCATTGTACGGTAATATAAATTTACACCAACAGTTGCAAGGAACTGTCATACACATATTTTGTACGTCTGGGGCGGCCGTCATTTGTCTTCATCACTGCAACTTCATATACTTGCCCCTGCTGGTGCATCCAATAAAACACGTAATTAAGAGCTAGTTTGGATACAAGAGCTAATTACTAGCTAGCTAAAAATTAGCTAAAATTAGTCCTAGTGCATCTAAATAGGTAGGCTAATAGATAGGATAACTTTTTTGTTAAATTTACTACTAGTAGTTAGCCAACTAGCTAGCCAAACTAAGTTAAGTTGAGCTAATTTTTATCTTAACTAGTAACTAGTCTTAACTCATCCGGACAGGCCTTAAGACATGCGTTCGGTGCATGCATGTGAGGGCATGTGTCAATGTAGCTTGCTAGCTCTTCATATGTGTCAGACAACGGAGATGTCGGCAAAGGATGATATAGGATGCTGTGGAATTAATGTACACATATCTATCTAGTATCTACACATATATCTAGCTAGCACCGTTTTGTTTGTTTGAATATGGGCTATATATAATTATAAACGTGTGTGTATCTAGCTACTTTCCAATAATAAAGCTTATCACTGCCGCACATGCATGCATGCATGCATCAGGATTAGATCTCATGTGACCAACCAGCTCTACTGTAGTGCATGCCATGCATGTCCACAGTTTCCACATGCATACACCTACGTACCAAACTGCCGAACTAACTGCGACGACGAGCCAAAGTGGTTGATGATGATGACTAGGTATATATACCTGGTGGCGGCCATGTCGTCGAGGCCGCCGCCGGCGACGGGCGGCGCGCTGCCGTAGCCGTAGCGGGGGAAGGGGACGCGGCCGGCCTCGATCTGGGTGACGTCGTGGACGAGCTGCTCGAAGTGGCGGCGCACCTCGTCGGCGGACTTGGTGCCGCCCATGTAGCGGGCGATGTTGTGCCACCGGTCCGGGGTGTCCCGGTCGTACACCGCCAGCGCGCACTCGAACTGCTTGTTCTGCCGCTGCGTCCACGCGCGGGACGACGACGACGACCCGCCGGAAGCCATTGTTCTGTTCGTTCTACTTCTAGCTAGCTCGAGCACGGGCCGGGGTACTCTGATGAATGCTGCTAGCTGCTGTTACGATTTCTACAAGTGTGAAGTTGTGTCAGTGTCAGATCGATCTATCTAGCTATAGCTTGCTACTGCCAGATGTCGAGTGCATGCATGCAAATGATTCGTTGCTACTGAGATAATGAAACTGGCTGGCAGGAGGAGCGTATATATAGAGGAAGAGAGCGTGTGCATGCAGCATGCATATGCACTGCACAACGTATGACGTATGGTACGGTCAAAACAAGATACCGCCCGAGCTCGCTGCTGACACCTACGTGACGTACGTGCGGGCCCCGATCCTTTATTTGTCGTCTTTGCTTGGCGCCGCGTGTGCCACTGCCGCGTGGCGCGTGCATGCATGAGGCTTTATACTATATCCGTGCTGCCTCACCTTACAAGCAAGCAAGGATAGTTAAGACTACAAGTTAATAAAAAAAACTTAAAACACGCACGTATCGTGCGTGTGTGATTTCTAGCCTTCAAATTAAGGTTCTGCTTGGATCTAGATTTTTTAGTCAATGTCGGGAGCTGAGGGGTTCCACCATAATAAATTTACAACAGGTTCCGACAAGCCGATAATGAAGATGATGTAAAACACCTAGTACACACTACTATAGAATTGGACATCCCTACCAGCTTTATCACTGCCGAATTTTTAAAACCTATAGTGATAGCCCATCATTATCGGTTTTTGGCTAAAATCGGCAGTGATAGGACCAACCGACACTGATATTCGATTATTTACTGTCGGTTCATATCGCTGTCGGTTTTAGCCAAGAACCGACAGTGATATTGGATCATCGCTGTCAGTTTTAGCCAGGAACCGACAATGATACTATCACTGTCGGTTCGTGACTTGAACCGACAATGATATGCTGCAAGAAAACTTCATAAGTTTCTCATATGATGTCCGATGAAGGCGAACTTTATATCAAAGTTGTAGTACTCGACGAGATCTATAACTTTCTAGTTCAAACTTTTTAAATTTGAGATAGTTTGGATGTCCAAATATTTTCATTTAAAATAATCTATCTAACAAAAATTACGTTTGATTTCTAAATTTTAAAATTTGAATTTTTCAAACGGACTCGGATGGAGAAACACCCAAAACAAAAGTTGTAGATCTCGAAAAGTTATGCAACTTTGTAGTTGAAAAACTTTTTCATTTGAGATCATTTACTACTTAAAATACTATTTGAAATTAAATTTTAAAATTGTTTAAGAACTATGATTTCTCTTTTTAATCTCTGGCTCAAACTTGTAACTAGTCTTTCTCTCTAGTACTAACTTCAAATTTAATGATTTTTTCCTAAAAATTTCTAAAATCATGCTCTATCAATTTATTGTGTTCTTAGCGCTATTATTTTATCCATCTTTTCATATGATTGTGTTTTATCTATTTGAATTTTGAATTTCAATAAATGGCAACATCAAACGTCATTTTGAAACACTAAATGATTTTTCAGCTGAAAAAGTCAAGAACATAGAAGTTGTAGAACTTATCAAGATCTATGACTTTTATTTTGGTCATTTCTTCATTCGATTCACAAAATTTACATATCTCTTTTATAGTTTCATAAACAATCAGAGGGATATGTAACATTTGTAAACAATGTTACTATCACTATGTCGGATGAATAAATGATCAAATGATCAAAATAAAAGTTGTAAATATCATAAAGTTATGAAACTCTATAATTGACAACATTTTATTTGAAATCATCTTGTCAAGGAAAATTACGTTTAAATTTCTAAAATTTGAAATTTAAATTTTATAAACAACCTCGGATGGAGAAACTACCAAAATAAAAGTTGTAGGTCCCAAAAAGTTATGAAACTTTATAGTTGACAACTTTTTGATTTCAAATCATTTTCTCAAGGAAAACTATGTTTGAATTTCAAAAAAATTGAAATTTGAATTTTTTTAAACAACCTCGGACGGACAAACAATAAAAATGAAAGTTGTAGATCTCAAAATGTTATGAAACTTTGTAGTTGATAACTTTTTGATTTGAAATCATCTTGTTATGGAAAACTACGTTTGAATTTCTAAAATTTGAAATTCAAATTTTGTAAACAACCTCGGATGAAGAAACTAACAAAATAAAAGTTGTAGATCTCGAAAAGTTATAAAACTTTATAGTTGACAACTTTTTTATTTGAATTCATTTAGGGTCTCAAATACTTATTTCAAAATCAGATAAACATAAAATGGCTAGGACGAAAATCTCATTTGGACACAAACAGCTTGCAGGAGGTCAGGGGTTCGAGCACCGGTGGCTGCGAAGTGCGTGTTTTTCGTCCAAAAAATCACGTGATTGTGACTTGGGACGCGCGATCGTGTGGCTGTCGATGGGGCTGTAAGAAACATGGACTCTAGACCCATTTACTTTTTATTTTGGTGTTTGATGACCAACACAATCAAATTGGACTAATAAATTTATAAGTGATTGTTTTGTAGTTCAATAGGATGCAAGACGTGATTTGGACGAAGACGACATAATGATCCCACGATCAACACCTTAAGCATGACCTTAGAAGCACAAGAGAAGACCCAAGATATCAAGAAAAGTCCAAGAACGAAAATAGAAACCAAGTCAGGCAAGATCGCGAAGAAACAAGTTCATAGAGGTGACCGGATATAGTGACCGAATGCGCCCTTATAGCGGTCGGACGCGTCCGATCAGTTGCTCGGCAACAGAAGGTGTCTGCAGCAGCAATAAGACGCTGAGTACTGAAAGTGACCGAACACACCGATGGCACTGTTCATCATCCCGGCAACACACTCAGTACTGACTAGACACTGGCAGCAAATCGACCGGACGTAGGAACCGCAACGTCCGATCGAGTACAGAGAGGTTCCGGAGCGACGAAATTGCAACCAAGCGCGTCCGGTGGCATGTGACTGGACGCCATTAGCATCCGATCAGTTGATCGCGCGCCCCAACAATTGGAACGACCGGACGCGTCCGATCAGAACGAAAGCAACGTCGGTCCGTAGTAAAAGCGGGTTTTCGTCCCCAATGGTTACTTTCTCCATAGAGCTTATAAATAGACCCCTCAACTGGCCATTTGACAAGCGCGGAGCTGAAAAAACATATCAAGGGTGTTGATACACCATTTTAGTGATCTTCACTTGCATAGTGCTTAGTGTTTCATTAGATGATTAGCATAGGTGCTTTGCGAAGTGCTTAGGTTGATTAGACCACCGCTTATGCGCTTGCTCAAGGTTTAGGCCTAGTGTTTAGTGAGGTTTGCATACCTCTTATCACTCGGTGCTTACGCGCACCATTGTTGTACATCCGAGGGCTTGTAGTCTTGCAATATCACACCAACCGCGTTTGTGGTGTGGCCGCCACCGTGTACCGAAGGGAACAAAGTCCACGACGGTTCAGCCAAAAGCTTGATATTGAATACGGCGGGGAGCATCCGGGGTAGGCTTGTCGAAAGGCACGTGGGAGACCCACTTGAGCGTGGGGAAGGCCCAAGGCTATCCATGGAGTTACTCGACCGGGAGCTTGGCCCTTGCGATGGATTTCTTACAAGAGGCTCCAACGAGGACTTGGGGGAAGCTTGCGTGCTTCTTGATACCTCGATAAAAATACCGGAGTGATCGATGAAAGTTTGCATATCTATACCTTGCTCTTTAGCTTCCGTATTTACTTTATTTGTATTACTCCTTTTGCGGTAGAGATAGCAACACACTAGCAAAACCGTAGTTGCACATTTAGATAGTTTATCTTTTGCATAGGTTTTTCTAAGGATAGAAAAAAGATGCCATAGTTTAGAGATGTAGTTTTTAAGTTGCCTAATTCATCCCCCCTCTTAGGCGTCACGGTCCCCTACAAGTGGTAACAGAGCCGTTTGACTCAATTTAGACCTTTAGCTTAACCGTCGTTGAGCCGACACTATTTAGAGTGGTTGGGATGGATACCTCTAGGCCTCCGCTGTACTTTGACGGCACTAACTTCCCTTACTACAAAGCTAGAATGGCTTGTCACCTTGAGGCGTTGACTTGGGTGTTTGGAGAGTCACTCATGACGGGATAAAACCCATTAAAATTTTCGATAAACCTACAAAGAGTGAAAAAAAAGAAATTCATTTCAATGATAGAGCTAAAAATTACTTGTTTGAATCATTTAACATGGATGTGTTTAACCAAGTGTTCACTTTAAATACGGCATATGAAATTTGGTTAAAACTCCAAGAGCTCCATGACGGCACAACTAATGTCCATGAGCAAAAATATTGTCTAGCTAAACAAAATTATGATTCCTTTAAAATAAATGATGATGAGCTTATTCATGATATGTATTCTCGTTTGAATCTAATTATCAATGAGCTTCATTCAATAGGATTAACAAAGCTAGATGATGCAGACATCGTGAGGAAGATCATCTCCATGCTACCACAAAAGAAATATGCAAGCATCATCACCATCCTTCACAACATGGAGGATTTGAGCACCATAACTCGGCCATAGTCATTGGCAAGATAGTGGTATTTGAAATGTCACACAAGATTGGTCAAGAAGAAGCCTCTTCATCAAGAAAAGGAAAAGCTCTCACATATAGTGAGAAAAAAAAATAAAGGGCAAGCAAGTTGAGACAAGATCAAGCTCAAACTCCTCAAGTGAAATGAAGAAGAAGATGAGGATGATGATGATGATGATGATGATGATGATGAAGATTCAAGTATTGATGATCAATCTTTCTCCTCCACCTCTGACCTTGATGAAGAATCAATCAAACTTATCAATAAGGTGGAGAAGATGATCCGAATACTCAATGTCAAGGGTGTGTCCATCCAAATTCAAGATTTCATCTTCACAAATCAAAGAAATGAGCAAAGAAAGAAAAGATGCTATGGATGCGGTGAGTTGAGGCACTTTGTCGAAGTTTGTCCAAACAAGCCCACACCCAAGACAAAGAAGAAGGCGTGCAAAGACAACC